GCTGTTCTTTTGAGCTTTGATATTGAAAAACAAAACTACATTAACATTTGTGAATCTCTAAAGTTCTGTAGTGAGAATTCTCTTGCTTAAAGCAACAGAGTCATTATTTGGGAACTGTACTACATATTTTCTTACTCAGTTTTGTTTGAAATAGACAATTTAAACAAATTACTGTAAAGGTTTTGCTTTGAAAATTAAACATAATTGGAATGGAAAGTACTTATTCCTCGATTAGAAATTGTAGTTTGTTTTAATTAAATGACACTTGGCAAAAAGGAGACATTTTTGGCACTGCTGGGAGTATCTTTGGCATTTGTAGAAGGATGCTTTTTATCTAAGAGTTTGAGATGGCATCAGAGCCTCCCTATGGTCTGGTTCTAGTGCCACTGAGGAATAAGTTGTGATGTCAGAGAAGTTAAAAATAAAACGAATGCTGGGCGCAGTGGCTCACGCCTATAATCCCAGCACTTTGGGAGGCTGAGGCAGGTGGATCATGAGGTCAGGAGTTTGACACCAGCCTGACTAACATGGTGGAACCCCATCTCTACTAAAAATACCAAAAAAAAAAAATAGCCAGACATTGTGGCACACACATGTAATACCAGCTACTTGGGAGGCTGAAGCAGGAGAATCGCTTGAACCCGGGAGGCAGAGATTGTAGTGAGCCAAGATCGTGCCACTGCACTCCATTCTGGGTAACAGAGTGAGACTCTGTCTCAAAAAAAAAAAAAAAAAAAAAAAACAACCACAATGAATGCATATCAATTAGGAGACAGATAGTCAGATTGCATATAAACAAGATACAGCTATATCTATAAGAAATTCTACATAGATAGGTTAAAAATAAGAGGATGGAAAAAGATACACCATTCAATCACTGACCCAAAATGGTCATATTCTTATCAGAAAAGTAGACTTTAAAACAAGGAATATTGACAGGGATGAAGAGAGACATTACATAGTGATAAAAGATCAATACACCAAGAAGCCACAACAGTCCCAAATGTAAGCATACTTAACAACAAAACTTCAAAGCACCTAAAACAGGAACTCATAAAGATGAAAGAAGAAATATACAAATCCTCTGTAATAGTTGGAGACTTCAACTCTACTTTCATACTAATCTATAGAACAAGTAAATAGAAAATTCAGTAAGTATATAGAAGACCTGGACAGCACTATTACTCATTTTGATCTAGTGGATATTTATAGAACAGCCACTCAATAACTGCAGAATACATGTTCTTTTAAAGTGTACATTAGACATTCACCAGGATAAACCACATTCTGGGCCATAAAATAAGCCTTAATGAGTCTAAAAGATTTGATAAAGTATATGTTCTGACCACAAAGAAATTAAATCAGAAATTAGTAGCAGAAAGATATCTGGAAAATCTCTAAATATTTGGAAATTAAACAATACAATTTAATAAACCATGGGTCAAAAAAATCACAAGGTTAAGTTATTCCACCCTGAATTCAATATTAATACAATTTTAAAATGAAAACAATATATCAAAATGTACAGGAAGCAGTTGAAGAAGTACTTAGAAATGAACTTACAGCATTAAATACTTAGAAAAAAGACAGTTCTCAAGTCATTTAAATTTCTACCTGAAGAAACTGGAAGAGCAAACTAAACTCAAAGCCAACAAAAGAAAGAAAATAATCAATGAAATAGAAATCAGAAAAGCAATAGGAAAAAAAACCTCTAATGAAATCAATAGCTGATTCTTGAAAAAGACTAATAAATTGGTAGAGCTCTAGTCAGACTGATCAAGTAAAATAGAAAGAAGACACAAATTACCAACACCAGGTATAAAAGGACATTGCTACAGTTAATAAAAGGATGACAGAATATGAACAACTTTATGCCAACACATTAAACAGCTTAAATGGACAAATTCCTTGAAAGACACAAATTAACAAACTTCATTGAAGAAGAAAGAGATAATCAGAATAGCCCTGTATTAATGAAGAAATTGAATAAATAACACGAATGAAATGAATAAATAACATTTGTATAGACTTGTTTGTATAGAATAAGTCTATAGAAATCCCTTCAGAAAGCAGAAGGGGAAGGAGTACTCCCAACTCACGAGATCAGCATTGTCTCAATATCAACACCACTGCAAAAAAAAAGAAACTATAAACCAGTATTCCTTATGACTATAGATGCAGAAATCTTCAACAAAATATTAGCAGGCATTCTCAGCTGATTTTTTTTCTAATACTTAGTTTGTATTTTAAAAACTGATTCTTTTCACTATAGCACCAAGTAGTAAAACCTTAACTATCAGAATACAACTAATGATAACCTTCATTTTGATGAATCAAAAATGATATATCACTAGTAACTAAAGGAGACTTTAACTGTGATATTTTGAGTCTACTTATGACACATTTTTGCTTGTCATCTGGTGACAAGGTCTAATGCAAGTCTATTGCCTTTTTTTTTCGAGACAGCATCTTGCTCTGTCACCCAGGCTGGAGTGCAGTAGCATGACCTCAGTTCAATGCAGTCTCTGCCTCCCAGGTTCATGAGATTCTCTGGCCTCAACTTCCCAAGTAGCTGGGATTACAGTCGTGAAGCACTACACCTGGCTAATTTTTGTATTTTTAGCAGAGACTGGGTTTCACCATGTTGGCCAGACAAGTCTTGAACTCGACCTCAAGTGATCAGCCAGCTTCGGCCTCCCAAAGTGCTGGGATTACAGGCCTGAGCCACTGTGCCCACCAGCCTATTGCCTTTTTAAGAGTTACTTGGAATTGACTCAATTCTACTGATGTTCTTCCTGGGTAGGATAAATCTGGCCCACTTCTTTGGGGGTATACTTGTTTGGGGACCCATGCTTTTACTTGATATTTTTATTCTTATTTATTAGAAGTCATATTGACAAAAAACAAAGTCTGTTTCACTGATACTTGGGGAGTCTCAGATGTTAGCTGTGAAAGTTGGAAGAAGTGTGATCACCCCAGAGACCAGGGTTCTACTCCAGGCATGATACAGTGAGAAACTCACTCTATTACTCATATGTTGGGACCACACAAACTCTTTAGAGGTCAGCCTGAGAGTCACCAGGGCCTTGTTTCTTAGGGTCAGAGATGAATTAGATGTTCAGATTGGGGATGGTTGATTCCTCTGGAGCTTTCTAGGTTCTTACTTTTTAGGAAGGTGGTGCATTCTCTCTTAATCAGAAGTCTTCATAATTAGCAAGTGTTTGTGGGTCGCATGTTATGTTTAGAGGTGGTAGATGCCAAAGTGGTCAAACAACAGGAAATCTTTGGAGTCGCATACCACCCCCCAGACTCCCACCTCACAGCATCTTGCCACTGCTCCTTAGCAGCAATATGTATTAAGTTGTGAGTTTGGAGGAGCCTGGACTACCTCAGGATGTGAGAGAAAACCACAGCGTCTGCAGTACAGCGAGGGAGTGGGGCTGTATGACCAAGGGCTTGGCAGACCATGCAAAGGAGTTTGGATTTCATTCTGGCTGCAGTGGGCAGCCACGAAGGGCTTAAATGGGGAAGTGATGTCATCAAGTGGGTGTTTCCACAGGGTCCTTCTGTTCTTTGCCAGAAGGCAATACGTCTGGTAGGGAGGCCTTTGAAGAAACGACTGCCAAGCAAATACTGAGCTTTACATACCTGTGTCCTTTTAAATCTCTGTAAGATGGGGCCTATCCACTTCCTGGGCCACTGTGAAAAATTAGCATATCTGTTCTGTCACTAGACTTCTGCAAACTCTTCTGGGGCCATGTGTTTCATGCCACTTGCACAAGAGGGGAATGTGGCTCTGCCCTGAATCCCTTTAGGCTAGAATTGAAGCCCAGGGTAGCTGGCAAGCAACATGACATTGCTTTGAATGCTTTTATTCTATCTAAACATTTTAAATGGTATTTTGCATTCCACTCTATAATATACATGCTTAATTTAACACAGAACCCATTTTCCTCTAATATTTATATTCCTATTTTACAGATGAGAACCCAAGGCTTAGAGAGGTAAAGTGTTTTGTTCAAGGTCACATAGCTAGTAAGTGGTGATACCAGGTTTAGAATGCAGGCAGTCTGATTACTTAGTCTTTGCTCTTGATAATGGCATTCTTTACTGTGGTATCCTAGTGCCCACTACTGTGCCCAGCAGGCGCTCAGTAAATATGTTTGGTGATTCTTTTGGAGAACTTTGGCAGCTGGTGCTAGGAATATAACCCTATGCACGTGAGCCACCTGGATCAGTGCCAAGAATGGGTGCTGGGAGGGCTGAGCAGGATCCGTGCTCCCTGGCATCCTGCATAACCAGAACAGGACTCCCTCCTGTGTGTCTTCAGCACCTGTAGCACCATCACTTTGGCCAGCTAGTAACTGTGGCCAGCTAGTAACTCTGACCGGCTGTATGGCAACCCCTGGAGGATGGGCCCTATGTCAAGCTCACCTTCTTCTTCATGAAACCTGGCCTAACTCGTATACTTGAAATGCGACCAGCTCAACAGTGAGCTTGTGGAAGTCAGCCTGTCTTCATCTAGAGAATTCCAAGACTGGGATCTTTCATCTGGCTTGCCCATGGCCAGGACCATCCTTGAACATGAGTGAAAACCCACAGCCAGGCAGAGCTAAGGTTGGCTTCCTGCGTAGAGGCCCTTATGCAACTAGAGGGAGCCAGCTAGTCAGCAAAGCTGCCATGCTGCCTTTGGGTCTCCCATGCTGTCTAGGGAACCCTGGGACCAGAAGAGTGCTCAAGGCAGCCCACACACCCCAGAAACAGGAGGTGTAGAAAGCATGGGTATGCAGGGCCTGTAAGGCAAGGGAGGCATGAGGTAGAAGGGTGGATTCTATTCTGGCTGCATGGACTTTTCTGGGTATAGTTGGCCATCAAGTGGAAATAGTCTATACACTGGAAAATAGAGTCTGCAAACAGCTGGAAATAGAGATCTTGAGAGAGGAAGGATGGGAGATGAGGGTTAAAAACCTAGGTACCTTCTCTACAAGTCACACATCCCCTCACTGTGACACCTGTCACATACCAGACATGTATATGCAACATTCTTCTTGTGGTTGGGCGTAAGGTTTGCACCCTGAATGAAATGAATAGATTTTCATTACCTTTCCAGGGGTAGTTTTGTTATCATTCATATCCTCTCTGTTTTCACTGTCAATTGAGTCAGTTTAATTAATTTGTGTGTTGTATTCTTTATTTCAGAAAAACTGTACAACTCCAGTGGACGAGATCTGAGAAGGGCCCTTTTCTCCCTGAAACAGATATTTCAGGTAAATAGGAAAAAAAAAACAAGCATTTACCTGTTTTCACATTGCTGTGAAATTAGATACAGACAAGCTTCTACCTGAACTTATTATGAAAAGGAAGGACAAATTTAGATTACAATATTTATCTTTAGATTATAATATAAATTAGATCATAGTATCTATCAGTTGAGAATATTTTTACCATGTCAAATGTTTCAAACATAATAAAAAGTAAAGACAACTTTATCACGTCGTAACATTTTTCCATATTTACTTCTAGATTTTTTTTGATTATACTTTAAGTTCTGGGATATATGTGCAGAACATGCAGGTTTGTTACATAGGTATACATGTGCCATGGTGGTTTGCTGCATCCATCAACCCGTCATCTACGTTAGATATTTCTCCTAATGCTACCCCTCCCCTTGCCCCCCCATCCCCCGACAGGCCCTGGTGTGTGATGTTCCCCTCCCTGTGCCCATGTGTTCTCATTGTTCAACTCCCACTTATGAGTGAGATCATGTGGTTGGTTTTCTGTTCCTGTATTAGTTTGCTGAGAATGATGGTTTCTAGCTTCATCTATGTCCCTCAAAGAACATGAACTGATTCTTTTTTATGGCTGCATAGTATTCCATGGTGTATATGTGCCACATTTTCTTCATCCAGTCTATCATTGATGGGCATTTGGGTTGGTTCCAAGTCTTTGCTATTGTGAATAGTGCTGCAATAAACATGCGTGTGCAAAGCCTATTAGAGTTATAACTGAAGACTTGTGTTCTGCTCCCAATTCCCAAACAATCTCTTTTCCCCCTACCCCTACATGCACGTTTCCTAATGGTAAATATTCACCAACAATATGTGACATTCTTTTTTTATGAGCTGTATACACATATAATCATGTTGCATATATCCTACTTCTGCTTACTGAGAGTGGGATAGTTGTAGGCATAACTGATGTAGCTCTGATTGAGGATTGCATTGGATGAATAAAACACAAGTTGTTTTGTTTATTCTTCTATCGGCAGATGGTTTGGTTAATTTAGAGTATTTTGCTGTTGTAAACCATGCTATTGTGACTATGCCACCTTGTGTACCTGTGCAAATCTGTCTTGGATTCCATAATATCCTTCCATCCTAGGCCTTCCCTCCATTCCTATGCTGAGAAAGTCACCAGCATAATGAAGAGGACTAAGACTGGGGTGCAGACGAGCCCCAAGGTGATCACCCATGTGAAAGCATAGGTGATCACCCTGCAGAGGGCAGGGTCAGGAGATGGGTTCATGGAGAAGATGGCCTTCACACTGAACTTGTGTCTGTCTAGGTTCATTGTTTCTTTCTGTTAGAATTTTGGATTCTAGTTTATAACCTACCTCTTTTCAGTTCCCATCTCATCTACATCCTTGAAAGATTATCTTTGTCAGTGATAGTTGTCAGTGATAGCCAGAGTGGATTTCTCCCTGTTTGAGAGGGAATAGGCAAAAAGGTGGGACCCAAATCTGTCCCATCCACACATTCTTGTCCCATTTTTCCTTCACTGTGTTCAATTGTACCATTATCTTTTTTTATTTTTCTTCAAAAAGAGTTCCTTCTCTGTGTTGACATTTCTGGAGACAAATCCTCTTTCTTTTCTTCTGGTAGCCATGGGTTTGAACCTGGTGCACCCTTGCTCCACCCCACTTCATACTTTGGAAATGCTTTGGGGTTTATAGGTCTGCCTCGGTTCACGCCTGTCCTCCTCTCACCTGGAAAACTGCAGCAGCTATGCATGGATCCGAGTGTGTTTGGTCCTCTCTAACTCAGTCCATTCTTAGCTTCCCACCAGAGGGAGTTACTCTCTTGTTGGTTCCATGTTGCCTTCTGGGTTACATCTGAATTTCTCAGCATAACATGGAAGTCCTTCTTGATCTGGCCTCTGCTGCCTACCTCTCTGTCCTTGGCTACATCCTGAGTTCCTCCTGCAGTTGTACTCCAAATGTAAGGCATGCCCTTTCTCTTCTATACCTTTGCCCTTGACCTGCAACTAACTAACTTGTTTATTTGTTTATTGAGATAGAGTCTCGCTTTATCACCCAGGCTGGAGTGCAGTGGCATAATCTTGGCTCACTGCAACCTCTCCTTCCTGGGTTCAACCAATTCTCCTGACCCAGCCTCCCGAGTGGTTGGGATTATGGCCACCCGCCACTGTGGTCAGCTAATTTTTATATTTTTAGTAGAGACAGAATTTCGTCATGTTAGCCAGGCTGGTCTCAAACTCTTGACCTCAGGTGATCCACCCACCTAGGCCTCCCAAAATGTTGGGATTACAGGTGTGAGCCTCCACGTCTGGCCTGGACCTACAAGTTCTATCCCAGAATGTTTTGCTACCCCACACCTACTCTGTTTGTCTCTCAGTTTTCCTTCTGGTATCTCTTCCTGCTAGGGATCCTCTCTCAGAATGATCCCTTAGCCTAGTTAAGGTCCCTCCAAATACCATTAAAAATATCCTGTGCTTACCTCTTGTACAGGTAGAGTGTCCTTAATTTGAAAATCCAAAATTAGAAATGCTCCAAAATTTGAAAATTTTTGAGTGATGCCACAAGTAGAAAATTCCACACTTGATCTCATATGATGGTCACAGTCAAAGGGCAGGCTCACAACACACGATTTATTCAGCATCCTCAAGGAAAAAGACCCTCCCACCACCTTTCAGCTATGATATATATTTTCCACACATGCCCAGATTCCTCCATGCAAGCATGCCCACAAAGGGCGATGAAATGGCCTGTGTGCAGGCCGGACACACCAGTGGCAGTTTCCCCACAATGCCCACGTGGGCCAAGATGTACGTGCATTACTCATTGTGTGTGTTTGCTTATTCTGTGCTCTGCGGCATAAAGGTATTGTTGAAAATGTCAAAAAGGCCTGAAGATACCTCCTTGGGTAACAGTGACAAAAAAGAGAAGTCAGCCAGGCGTGGTGGCTCATGCCTGTAATCCCAGCACTTTGAGAGGCCCAGGCAGGTAGATCACCTGAGGTCAGGACTTCGAGACCAGCTTGGCCAACATGATGAAACCGCGTCTCTACTAAAAACAAACAAAAAAAAAAAAAAAGAAAAAGAAAAAAAAATTAGCTGGGTATGGTGGAGGGCACCTGTAATCCCAGCTGCTCAGGAAGCTGAAGGAGAATTGCTTAAATACCAGGAGGTGTAGGTTGCAGTGAGCTGAGACACCATCGTACTTTAGCCTGGGCAACAAAAGCAAAACTCTGTCTCAAAAGAAAAAAAAAAAAGGAAGTCATTTATGTTTATCTGCAGCACAGAGTGAAGCTGTTGGAGAAATTGGGCAGTGGTGTAAGTGTGAACTGTCCTGCAGAAGATCACCACAGACGACCTGAAGAAATAGAAGGATAAACTGTTGAAGTTCTTTGCAGAAAGCAATGAGCAGAAGTTACTGAAAAATAGGAGAACATTTTGTGAAGCTAAAAGTGAAGATCTCAACTGCGTATAGAGTGGATCCGTCAGCAATGCAGTGAACACATGCTATGTAATGTATGCTGATTGTGAAACAAGCGAAGATCTGTCATAAATGGAAAATGGAAGGGAACTGCATATTTTCAATAGGCTCTTTGAAGAAATTTAAGAAAAGACACAACATTACATTTTTAAAGATTTGTAGTGATAAAGCTGCGCTGATCTATCACAAAACAGTGGAGAAATTCATTGACAAGATTGCTAAGGTCACGACTGATGAAAATTTGATGCCAGAACATGTGTATGAAAAAACATTACTGTTTTGTAGTTACAGCCCCGGAAAGACACCGACTAGAGCTGATGAGACAGCTCCTAAGGGAATTACAAATGCCAAGGACAGAATAACTGTGGGGCGGTGCTAATGCCGCAGGCACACATAAATGAAAATTTGCTGTGATAAGCAAATGTATCCTCACCATTTTAAAGGAGTGAATTTCTTACCATTCCATTATCACACTAACAGAAAGCCATGGATCACTGTATCATTTTTTCTGATTAGTTTTATAAATATTTTGTACTGAGGGCTTGGGCTCACTTCAGGGAAGCTGGACTAGATAATGATGGCAAGATTTTTTCCTCAACAACTTTTCTTCTCATCTTCCAGCTGAAATTCTCATCAAAAATAATGTTTTTTCCTCAAATGTGACTTCATTAATTTCTGGCATTCTTAGGTCAATGAGGAATCAATTCTTAGATCCATTAATAAAGGGTATTCTTAGATCAATGAGGAATCAATATTAAAAACAGTTTTTTGAACAGCATGCTAGCAGCAGTGAACAGAGGCATGGGTGTGGAAAGTTTTCAAAAGCAGTTTAGCATGAACGATGTTTAGCATGAAGGATATACTGCTGCCAGCACTGGAAACACAGCGACTAAGACCCAGCTGTGCATGCCTGGCACAACCTCTAACCTGTGACTGTGTTTAGTGATGACGATGAACAAGTGGTAACTTTGTGGGATTCTGAACGTCAAGTGAGAAGAAAATGATGTCTGATCTCCTTGTAAATACAAACATTGTTTGAATGTTTATCTTCAGAGTCTATCAGTGAGCTGGAAGAAGTGGATATTGAAGTTTTTAACATTGATGAAAAGGCCCCAGTTGTTCATTCATGAACCAATGGTGAATTGAAATAGCTAAAATGTTTCTGAATCAAGGTACTCTTATATAAGTGACGATGAAGATGATAACACTGTAGAAAACGTGCCAAGAGATGACACGGCAAAAATATCTGATGGCTTATTGAAGTGTAGAGCAGTGTGCACTCAGAACAAGAAATCATGTTAGTTTATAAAATCAAAGATTTCTAAGACAAAAACTCTTGTTAATGAGGCAGATGATGGAGAAAACATTTTAAAGAACCCATCCAGAAGAATGCTTCCTTGTCCCTAGAGTACCCACTTCTAGTCCCTCAATGACTTGTGTTGTTTAGTCTCACCCCCAAAATAAAATATAGTGTATAGCAGCCTTTTAATCAAAACACAACATTGTAGGGGGAGACTGAAAGCCTGCTGTTGTTTAGCAGCAGAGACAGATATTCTGGGGATGCCACTGTACTGCTTAGTTACCCAGAACGTGTTATCATTTTTCATTGTATAAATGGCGTGTCATCTTTTTTACTGTTAAGTACTTATCTGTGAATAAGTGTAAGACAATGATTGCATATTGGTGGTCTCTAAATTCAGTGTCGGGAATGGTGGTGGTACCAAGCTAGCACAGATCACATAAATGGGTGGCTAAGATAGTGACACCTTTGCTTTCTGATAGTTCAGTATTCACAAACTTTGTTTCAATCACAAAATTATTTAAAATATTGTATAAAATTACTTTCATCGTATATGTAAATTGTGTATACAAAACCTAAATGAATCTCATGTTCAGTCTTGGGTCCCATTCTCAAGATATGTCATTATGTATATGTAAATGTTCCCCCCCCAAAATGGAAACACTGCTGGTCCCAGACATTTTGGATAAGGGATACTCAACCTGTATAGAACTTAAGATGCTTCAGAGCAGTTGTCTTGAGTCTGGTAGTCTGTGAACTTACTGGGTTTCGTCACCAGGCCTTTTGTGCCTAGCATACTATCTGGTACCACTTAAACTATAAATAAATGGACTGGGTAACTTGAATTGTCTTCTAGCAGATGTCTCTGTCTTCAGTCTTTTCTGTCTCTAATATGATAAATATTATGCTAACTAATTAATTATTCCAAAGCTCCACTTCAGAGTATCCACATGTGTCTTCCTGATACTTCGCTGAACAAAACAAAACTTCTTCACCTTTCAGATTATGTCCTGTTCTTAAGCTGAGATCCCCAACTGCAGTTGGGATAGACTCTTCCTATGGCACCAGTTGGCCGTGCTCAGACCACTCCTCCCCCTTCCTCATTTAGTCTGTCAGCCTGCCTCCTGTCTCCATTCTTCAGCTTTTGACTTCTCTCACACCTGATTGAGACCGGGTGGCAGAGCCACACAGCTAATAACTATTCCAAGTGACTTCAAAACACTGTAATTTGTGCACTGTTAGTAGGATGTACCCTAAGAATGAAAAGAACCACCCAAAAATCCACAACCACAACAAAACTGTTTACAATGATCATATTGGTGATGATAGTATTGGTATTACTATTCTGAGACTGGTATGCATGAGAGAGATTCTAATTGTCATTCTAAGCATTCTTAATAATTAAGATTCTTAAATTTAACAACTCTGTGTCTCTGAATTTAATTGGAAATATCAGAATGAATCCATGTATATTATCTGAAGCAAATAAGCATTTTTTTAAAAAAGAGCTAGAAGCAATGATCAATTCATTAGCAAAAAGCACCACTAGCAATGAGATTATGGTCTGAAACACCAAAAGGAACCAGAACTCCTTGGAGAAATGGCTGATTCCAAGTCTGGAGTGGGAAACATAATAAAATAAATTAATAAACTTGGAATATCTTGTCATACAGAGAGCAAGAAAGCTATTGATAGTCTAGGATTATTTCCAAAAGAACTCAGAAGTAAGTTGAAGAGTCTCCCACTGGCTTGCCAAAGATGAGACAGTGAACATCAATAAAGGTGATAATTGCAGTGGATCAAAACACACAAACTAAGTTTGTATTGATGAGTTCATAATGATACTACACAGTAACAATGGATTGACAGAAAATAGGTGAAAGATGCTAGCTAACTAGCTCAATATAGGAAAATGCTAGTGAACTAGCTTACTATTTTGCAAATGAATTAAGTTTCAGTATCTCACATTTATTTTGCCTTGTCACTTATGAACTTTAGGATAATCAAATAGTTGAGGGGAAGTCTTGTTTGTAGAAATATTCTAGATAATAAGTAAGAGGAAGTAACAGAATTAGCATATTACCATTCTGCAGTCCCTAATGATTTAAGGGATCTATGTGGTAAGCCTCAAGAACTGCTGACATGATGAGCATGCGATTCAGCTAGGTATTAGGTACCTCCCAATGGAAATACAAACTACCATCAATGATTCAGTCAAGCCAAAAAAATCACCTCCGAATCTGCATGCCTCTATATGCAATAAACTATTTGTAAATGATCCAAGAGGCACATGTTAAACTACACCACAGGGGTGTAACCAACAAAATCCGGACTGTGGGCTACTCTACAGGACAAATGATCCAGTTTCTTCAACACATAAATTCCAATGGAAGAAACAAAACAAACTTTGAATTAAAAGATGTTCAAGAGTCATATCAACTAACTGCTATGTATGAGTCTTATTTGGATACTAATAAAACTGTGAAAAACAGTATTTATGAAATAGCTGGAAATTTGCTCACTGACCAGACATCTGATAATGAATGAAAAGTATTAATTTTTAATTGTGAGTACATGTTTTTAAGAAGAGTTCCTGTAGTTTAGAGATACATATTGGAATGTTTATGGATTAAATGATATGATATATGGGACCCACTTCAGATTAATGTGGCAGGGAAAGGGTTAGCATGATCAATGAAACAGGGTTGGTATGCATTGGTTGGCATGTGGGGTTCACTAGACTATTCTGTTGCCTTTTGTATATGTTTAAAATCCTCTCAATTGAAAACATTAAAAATAAACATTCATGGACTCTTATAGATCCCTTAACCAAGTTCACTCTGTAGTGTGTGTTCTCTGAATTCCCAGAACTGTCATTAAACAAATATTTTTGAGCAGCCTCATTGGCACTGTGTAGGCAAGGAAGAAGGTGCTTGTTACCAGAAGTTTATAGTCTGTTTGGAAGACCACACACGTGTGCACAAAACAGCACTCGACTACAGGGCAGCAACGCGTGGGGAATTAACTGGATTACACAGGCAGCGGTGCTGTCTGGGCATGGATCACCACCTTCCATACCCGTGGGTCAGAGTCTCCATCATCTCTCGCGTTTTCTAGATGTGGAGGTTCTTTTCCAAACTAGATTGTAAGTGTCTGAAAAACAGAGGCATTGGTCATCTCTTTAAGTTGAATATTCCTTCACCAATAGGCATGTAAAAAAATGATCCCAGGTTAATATATGGCAATTATAGAAAATTCTGAAATGCAGTAATAAGCACCTATCAGTGTTAACATTTTGATTTCATCCTATTCTGAAACCAGTGTTTTAAAGGTCATTTCTTAACGCTCATATATTTTAGGATATATGTATAAAATCTAGCACATTGCCAATTTGGAAGGTTTTCTCCACATTTATTATCAATAAATTTCTCTTTCCTAAGTGCCTTATCTACATATGTGCATAAATTTCGGTTAAAGTTCTGAACAATTTTTATAAACACTGTCTCGCCTGTCCAGTGTTTTTTCCAAGTGCCTTTGCCAGACAGTCAATTCTCTGGTATATTAATATTAGTGATTAGCTTGAGTGGTTTCTTGAGAGCTTGTTCTCACTTCTTCACCATGAAGTCATGTGTGAATCTAGTTTTAGTTAAAGTAATAAACATTTGTTACATGCTTGGAAAAACTTTCTGACTAGACATGAGCTCATCTAAATGTTCACTTTTCACATATGCTGGTGGAAAAGGATATGGATGGAGAGAGAATTATTTTTTATTTCCTTTATACATATGAGTGTAAAGTAATTTTCCAAAAACTCATGATATTGTCCCATTTTCTTTCTTCCAAAGCCATGATTATCTTGAAGTCTGAGTTAACACAGCTGTCTTTCATTACATTCAGGGCGCAGGCATCACTCACCCACCCTTCCCCCCAAGTGAGCTCTGACCCTGGAGAGCTCTTTCCTGGTTCAAAGGGAGCCTTTGCTGAGCCTGCCCACATTTACCTGGTTCACCATCCATATAATTGGAAAACACCATAAAAATCAAAACAAGGGGCTGATTTCATATAGGAACAGAATTATGCCAGTTCATCTACATTATTTTTTCTCTTTTGGAGATAAGCCATGGTTTCTGACTTTTCCTATAATAATAACCTTTCATTATTCCATTAAGCTTTCTACCATTTACATCACTGAGGTTTTTTATTTTTGCTCTGTTGTGATAATTTAAGATGAATGTTCCAGCTTTATCCTAGATGCGTTTGAGACAAGGCCCTGTCCAATTGAAGGAATCTCCTAATCTCAATTGATGAAAACAATGGTAGAAAAATCCGTCTCAGAGAGCTCCAGAGAGCTTAGTACTACGGAAAAATGACTGGGCTCGGGTCTAGCTGAATGGAGCAAAGTGATCTTGGCTAAATGGAGTAGAGTGACTGCCACTCCTGAGTCTTAGTGTCTTTATCTGTAAAGAAAAGTTAGCATTAAATCAGTGGTTCTTAAAAAGGCAACCTTTGAGGATTTCCTGGTGAATTTAATAGCAGAGCCTTGGCCCCACCCCAGATGTTTGGATTATTTCCATCTGGGTAAGGTCCTGCTTTCTAGTCCTTCTTAAAGCTCCTCAGATGATTCTAATGTGAAGGAGTCTGGGGTGAGAACCGTCTGACCTCTTCAGAATCACCCACTTCTGAGCTTGAGAAACAGGGCCTCACTGTAGAGATTCCTATTCAGGAGGCAGGGGTGGGGCCTAACAAATTCCCAGGAGATGGACTTGCTCCTAGTCTCTGTTGGCTGATAGGTCTGGAGACTTTTGTCTGAGAACCATCGAGTGAGATGACCCCTGAGGTTTCTTCCATGTCCTGCCTTCTGTGATCAGGTCTGCAAGCCGACCAAGGCGGTCCTTTCGAGGGATGGCACGGTTGCTCCAGGTTAATGCCCAATCCTGCATCCTGCTTCCATGCCTGTCCTGCAGGCAGCACAACTACTGGAGGTTGGATAAACTGCTTCCTTTGGATCTCAGTCTTTGCAAGACCCTTTTCTGGAACCACTGCCCCAAGGACTGTTTTTAGAATACAGGAGTGGCTTTCAGTTCTTCACCTGATGGTCTTTGCTGCAATCAAATGTTTCCTGTAGTTAAAAACCAGCAAGCTTCACGTGGCCAGTCCCTTAGGACCTGTGGGGGGGGGGGGGGGGGGCCTGGTGTTTTTTGAAGAATGAAAAAAATGACACTGTAAATATTTCTAGCAGTGAGGAGATTCATTTGCTTTATCTTTATTAGATTGCCCAGGAGGCAATAATTGGTCTTTGGCAAAGGACAATGTGAGGACTGGTTGTAAAATTCTTTTGGCAACAGTTGAGATGCTTCATTTGAATAGAGCATAGCAATCTGTAGGGGCCGCTCTGGCTTCAAAGGCTTTTACATAGTTTTAGCAGCACAGATGGGATGGAAGATGGACAGAGACAGTATTTGAAGTCTTTTTTTTTCTTTCCTACCAGGATGACAAGGATTTGGTGCATGAATTTGTAGTGGCTGAAGGTCTGACATGTTTGATCAAGGTGGGAGCTGAGGCTGATCAGAACTATCAGAACTACATCTTAAGAGGTAAGTCATGACCGGGCATGCGGCAGCTGCCCCAGCTGCATGGGGAATCTG